TATCCTAAAAGGAAACTCCATATCCATTAAGTGGTAACTTCCCATTTCCCCCTCCTCCCACCCCCTGGCTACCACTGATCTTTCTGTCTCTGGATTTCTCTATTCTGGATATTTCATAAATGGAATCCTACAATAAGTGGCCTTTTTTTGTCTGGCTTTCACTTAGCATAATGTTTTTAAGTGTCATCCATGTTGTAGCATGTATCAGTGCTTTATTCCTTTTTATGGCTGAATAATATTCCATTGTTTGGATATATCACATTTTGTTTGGGTTGTTTCCACTTTTTGGTTACTATGAATAGTGTTGCTATGAACATTTGTGTACAAGTTTTTGTGCAGACGTATGTTTTTATTTCTCTTGGATGTATACCATAGAGTGAAATTGCTGCATCGTATGATAATGCTGTTTAACATTTTGAGGAACTGACAAATTATTTTCCAGAGTGGCTGCACTATTTTACATAGAATGTATGAGGATTCCAATTTCTCCACATCCTTAGACTTGTTTTTGTCTTCTTTTTTATAGTCATACTGGTGGGTGTGAGGTGGTATCTCGTTGTTTTGATTTGCTTTTCCCTGATGACTAATAATGTTGAGCATCTTTTCATATGCTTATTGGCCATTCATATGTCTTCTTGGAGAAATGTCTATTCAAGTCCTTTGCCCGTTTTAAAATTGAGTTGTCTTTTTATTATTGAATTGTAAGAGTTCTTTATATATTTTGGATACAAGTCCCCTTATATTCGCAAATATTTTCTCTCTATGTGTTGTCTTTTCACTTTCTTGATGGTGTTTGCAGTACAAAAGCTTTTAATTTTGATGTAGTCCATTTTGTCTTTTTTTTTTTTGGTCCCTAGTGCTTTTGAAACCATGCATAATCTGAGGTCCAAGCAGTTTTTATTTAAATATCAAAAAGGCTTCTTTTCATACTCACTTTCTCCTTTTGTTTAAGCATTTCTTCTGACTCTTAGCAAGAAAAGATTAAAGAATTAAATTAATACTATCATCAGTATCTTTTTTTATACTTTACATGACAATTTGTTGTCAGATGCCAGAGCCGAAGAGGTGTTTAGCCATATTCAAAGACTAGATGCATCGGGACTATTATTTACATTTCTGAAACTGCTTAGTACAATCACAGGATGAAAGCAATCTGCTTAAATCCCATATCCGCAGAATTCTGCAAATATTCTGTGTCTTAATTCTTAAAACCGGACTTGTTTACTAACAATGAGGATAACAGTCAAGTAAGTTCCTTGCAGTAAAATTCTTGGGTAAGGGATGTGCATTTTTCATTTTGATCCATATTGCTGAATTGCCCATCGGAATGATGGGTCCACTTAACATCCTGCTGTCAACGTGTAAGATTGTCTTGTTTCCTCATACTGTTATCAACACAATATGTTAGTCCACTTTTTGATCTGATAGGTGGAAAATGGTGTCAGATGTTAATTTGTTTCTTCTTGTGACAGTTAAAATTTTGATACAAATTTTCAAAGTCTGGACTTAACTAGTGCTTGTAGCTGTGTATAGGAGTACAATGCCTATTTTGTTCTCATTAGAGAAACAGTACGTGACTACAGTCTTGTGCCACATGAGGACGTTTTGATCGATGCTGGACTGCGTATACAATGGTTGTCCCATGAGATTAGTACCATATAGCCTAGGTGTGTCGTGGGCTCTACCATCTAGGTATCTGTAAGTACACCGTATGATGTTCGCAGAACCACAAAATCGCCTAATGACGCATTTGTCAGAATGCCTCCCCCTCGTTAAGCAACACATGATTGTATAATAAAATTAAAACGTTACAGAAATGTGATGCATTCTAGAAAGTCAGTGTCATGGCAGTTTAAAACACTTGAGTGGCTTCTCGTAGCTCTAGTCCAAAACCCTTGCTGAGGACAGCTAGGCCTCACTCTTAAGCTTCTTGCCCTGAGCTTTTCTTCATTGATGATGTTCCAATGACACCTTTCTCTCAGTTGGTTCACATTTTCTCTCACTTTAACAGTGTTGGCCCCTTTTGCCTTGCTAACTTTCCCTGACCCTTGGACCAAGTCAGGGGACCCATTTTTTTGATGTTTAAAAAGGAATCTTATTTATTGCTAATTTTAAACATACGTAGAAGTAGAGAGGATGGTACAAGGAACCCCCATGTACCCATTACCCAGCTTTAACAGTTATTGACACAAGATGATCATTTGTTTTCTTCTCACTGCATGCTGTATTTTTACTACTTAACACAACTTTAATCTAATTT